ATGAATGTTTTTATACTCACCTACAACAATTTATATAAAACTACTGTAAGTGGATGAATGTTTTTATACTCACCATCTACAACAATTTATATAAAACTACTGTAAGTGGATGAATGTTTTTACACTCACCACCTACAACAATTTATTTTGAATTAAAAATATAAAAATTTGTTTATGAAGGTAATTCTTGAACCAAATTGAGGTACAAGTTTCATGAACAAGCCCTTCAACAAACAACTACATACCTCAGCTACAACTTCAATGATGTCTTATTAAGGAAACACTTACCAAAATACGAGACGTATAAGCAGAGTTGATCGAGATGCAACCAAGGATTTTCTCTGCAACATTTGGAGGAAGATTTTCATACTTTGGTGTCGTTCTATAACGAGTGCCTTTACACAGAAAAAGATATTAATTTTGCTATAAAGAAAAATGATATTTTTAGATATTGATTCATATTTTCTACCAATAAAATAATTTAATTTTAATTTGTTGAGAGTATAAACAGGTCTTTATCGGTATTGATATATTCTTGTTTCTAGAACTCACCACATACATAACTCTGGACAACAGTCATACGATTAGTGGTCAAAGTGCCCGTCTTATCAGAACAGATGGAGGTGGCGTTACCCATAGTTTCACACGCATCCAAGTGACGAACAAGGTTGTTGTCTTTCATCATTTTCTATGTAGAGAAGACAGATCTTAGAAACTGATGGCGAATAAACAAAACAACAGTTGAAATGAACAAAATCTTTAGAGATAAAGATTTGGTTACACGTATCACTGGACAAGTTTTTAACTTCCTGTCTATAGAACAAGTGTTCCATAGATTTTATGTATATTCGGGACTAACTGAACTAATTTTTGGTTGAAAACAAAAGATAAGTAAGACAAAATCAATAAAGATACACAATGACGCAAGCCCAACTACACAATTTTGAATACTACTTTACAGTGAAATGTAAAAAGCAAACAAAAATTGAATTCAAAATCAGAAGAAGACACGTATTCAAAGGAAATGGATAGACATGGTGAACCTTTAATCGGCAATTTTATCCAAGTTAAGAAGCTGGAAATGATTAAAAACTAGATGCAACCCACAAAACATTTGTGGTAGTTTTCATTCCCTACTCCTGAATTATCCTTATTCTATCGTTTTCATGCACGCCATTTAAGCTATGTTTTCTTGCAGGCATTATTTGTTCGCTCAATAAATACTGGTCTATTTGAAAAACATTTTAGGTGGTCAGATAGACAGACAAACTTGCATATACGTAACTTTATTTAATAAAAATTATATGTAAAGTAAAAATAACGTATAGTAATGGTATTTACGACAGTGTACGGAGTATGAAACAGTTATGAGAGTCCGGTGTATGACGGGGTTTTAAAGTTGAAAACGACAAAAATGAAGAATAAAACCCATAATCAAGAAAAAAGTAGCTAAAATGTGTTTAAAGCAATCTATGAAACGAACTGAAGCTAAATTATTGCAAAGTACATTAATTTACAGTTGTAATGAAGGTAAACTTAGCTGAATATGCAGAAACACCTGAATGTGTGTTCACAAAGTAGCTATAACAACAGAAGATCACAAGTTAGTGTTGATGATTCAGGATGGTACTTACCTTGAAAGAGTAGCAACAGTGCTACTTCAGTAGTTAAAACAACATGAGTTCACAAGTTAATGTTGATGATTCAGGATGGTACTTACCTTGACAGAGTAACAACAGTGCTACTTCAGTAGTTATAACAACATGAGTTCACAAGTTAATGTTGATGATTCAGGATGGTACTTACCTTGACAGAGTAACAACAGTGCTACTTCAGTAGTTAAAACAACAGGAGTTCACAAGTTAATGTTGATGATTCAGGATGGTACTTACCTTGACAGAGTAACAACAGTGCTACTTCAGTAGTT